TGCCGACATCCTCTTTCAGAATTCTCAGCACGGGGCTATGAGGGAAGTGTCTTCACCTCCCCATTTGACAGACAGGGAGCGGATGGCTTAAGGAGGTCAGGTACCCTGTGCACCCCTTCCTCTCTCTCTGTCCACCCAGCTAACAGTGAGTGCCTTCTGTGTGCCAGGAACAGTGAGGTGCCCCCAGGGGAGGAAGGAGACTCGAATTTATTGAGCACTTACTACATGACAGGCACTTTTTAGGGAATCCTTATTAAATGCTCCTGACCACCCCAAGAAGTGAGTGATTTGCTGGGTTAACACCACAGGCAGACCAGCGTGGTCAGCTTAGGAGGAAGTTTTGAATCTGAACGTCACACCCAGTGCGACTTTGGGCACATGGCTTAGGTTTTCTAAGCCTCGGCTCATCATCTCTGAAATGGAGATAATCGTAGCACTTTCTTCGTTGTGTGATTTCAAGGACTAACCCAGATGAGGCATTTAGTAATAACAGCAAATGTATCACACGGACGTATGTGCCAGACACCAGGCTAAGGGCTTTATAGGCCCGATCTCATTTACTCTTCTCAAAACTCTGGGTATGAAGAAGCTTAGAACGGTGTCTGGTGTCTAATAAGTTATTATAAGGTCACAGCTGTGGGGGGGGGGCGGAGCCATGGCATTCCCTCAAGCCTGCGCAACTCTGAAGCCTCAGCTGGCACCCCTATGGGGTCCTGGATGGAGACCGGGGTGGGGGTGGGGGTCTCAGGAGCAGGTGTGTAGGGGAGAGGCGAGCAGAGATCAAGGGCTAAGAGCCTTGCAGGGCTTTTCAGGAAGGGGTGAAAGTGAGATTGCAGGAAAGCAAGGAGAATCTGGGGCGAGCATGCAGGGATGCCAGAAGCAGCACGGGAAGGGAAGGACAGAGATGGGGCAGTGGCGCAGTCCAAGGAAGCAGCGCCTCGTGGCACCCCTGCCAACGTATTGCACAACACTTCGGGCCCGCTCTGCCCCAGGCTGGGGGCTGAGCCAGCACGGTGCATTGTGTCATGCCTGGAGTACAGACCCCGAGTGAGCCAGAGCAGTGCCTGGGGAAGGCAAAACCTGGTCTCCGGGGACCTGTGAGCCCGCGTGGGGTCCATGCACCCAGCCTGAGGGCAAGGAAAGCCACTAAGGGCCCAAAGAAGGCCCAGGCCATGGTCAGTGCAGCTGGGTAAAGAATGGATTGGAGGGTGGGTTATCGGTACACGACCAGGGTGGAGAAGGAGGTGCGGAGGTAGCTCACAAATATCAGAGACCAAGAAAGGCCCTCCAGCACCCAAACCTGCTCTCTGACCTGGTGATGGCGGATTCCAGAGCAGGTGGGGAGGGTGACAGGTATGACGTAATGTCCATGAGCAAGGAAGTTCCTCAGTCGTGATAATGATAATCGCTACCATTTATTAATCTCCTACCTCCTGCCAGACACTTTAAATACTTTATTTCTAAGTATTCCATTTCATACATAAGGAACCTGAAGTGCAGGGAGGTTACGTAACATGACTAAGAAGTGGCTGGGCCAGATTTCAAACTGATTTTTCCAACACATGAATCTACCCGACATTCTCCAGGAGTTTGATGATCCTAAAACATTTTACTCTCTCTCTCTCTCTTTTTTGTAGATGTAACATACACATTTTGTGCAAAAGTGGGTAAGTTTAAAAATGTCTCTCTCTTTCACCTGTCACCCAGGTCCCCAGGCTAGATGCTGGCAGAGCAACCAATCTCTTGTCCTTTTCTTGACATAATCTATGCATTTATAAACACATTCAGAAAAGTGAATATATAATATATATATATATTTTTTAGAAAATGAATGTCCCCAATTCTATATACTGTTATATACCTTTCCCTCCCCCACTTAATTATACATCTTAGAGAAATTCTCCATCCTTACATATAGAGATGCGTCATTTTTTAGAAACGGTGGCAGCTGCAGGCTTTCACTGCATGGAGCCACCAGGCTGTATTTAATTGATGTCATGTCTATGGACACTTCCCCTAAAGGTAGTTATCCCAAACCTTTTCAAATCTGATTGCTGCTCTGCAAGCTTACCTGGGTAAGGATTTTGTCACATTGAGTATTTCCTTACACAACCCCTGAAGGAAGAGTTCAGTTTAAAATAGATATATAATTTTAAGTTCTGGTCACTGTTTTTGTTGCTGCTGATAAGACCCTGGAACATTCCTACACCAATCGCTGTTGCTTTTTGGTAGTTGCCTGGCGTAACCATGATGATCACGTCCCAGGAACCAGGTGTGTAACTCTCCCCGCGTTCCCATCAGACAACCTGTTCCTGCACTTGCCTTCTTAGCATTGCCAGGGTGTTAACATTGGCATCCTCTTTTGGCAGAAAAGGAAACAAATTCAAAGAAAGGAAACCGCATGCCTATTTTTACCCAGCCAGAGGTGGCTGTGCTGGGATTCAAACTCAGATTTCTACGAGCCGCGATATTTCAGTTATGTCCACTCACACTCTCCTTGGTGATTTAGCTTTCCCTCTTGAATCCTATCTTCCATCTTTTCTGAGCTGGTTATTCTCCATTAGCCCCCTGGAACCTCTTTTTCCCCTTCTTGGCTCAGCACTGTGTCCCGAGATGCTGGGCACACTTGCTTCCTGGCTTTTGAGCCTGACTTCCAGTCTGGCCGGTGGGATGAGAGGCAGGGAGAGGAGCGTGGCCAGCTCTCCCGTCCTTCCTCCTGCTCCCTCCCTGATGTTTGGCAGGCAGGCTAGCCCTCTCCTACATTTTCCTTCTCCTTGGGTTCCCTGAAAACCGAAAACCGCTCCCTCCATCTGCCCCCTCCATCTGCCCCCTCAGGCCAAGAGGTGATGACTGGCTTCCCACCATTGCTAACCCCAGGATGCTTTCAGCTCTTCAGTTCCCTTTTATCTGTTTACATCTCAGCAAGTAGACTCTTCTTTGAACCCTTTTCAGACTCCTTACACATTCTTCTTTAAACTCTCCTGTTTGAATGGGCCAGATGTTTCTTTTCAGGACTCCGATTGCTACATGTGGCTGCACCTCACCCCCATTTCCCTTTCTCTTCTTCTGATGACCGAGAAGTTCTGCAGTCTGGCCAAACCACGACGCTACGCTTCTCTGCGTTTCCGCTCTCCAGGGAGATTGCTTGAAGTGTCGCAGAATGAACTATTAGCCTTTTCATTTCTTGAGTAGCTAAGATAGGACAGGCACTCATGCCTTCCCTCGTGGGGCTTCCTGTCTAGTGACAGCTCGTGTCTCCAACTCTCTTCCTGACAGGGCAAGTCACTGGCCCCTCTGGACCTGGCATCTCACCACCAAGGGGTGGTGACTGGCTTCCCACGGTTGCTAACCCCTAGGTGCCTCCAGAGCCTGATGGTCTTCTATTTTTTTTTTTTTTTAAAGATTTCATTTATTCACCCGAGACACAGAGATACAGAGAGAGGGAGCGAGCAGGAGCAGGGAGAGAGGCAGAGGGAGAGGGAGAAGCAGGCTCCCCACTGAACAGGGAGCCTGATGCAGGGCTCGATCCCAGGACCCAGAGATCATGACCTGAGCCGAAGGCAGACGCCCAACTGACTGAGCCACCCAGGCGCCCCCCTGATGGTCTTCTAGATCAAGAAAGGCGTTTTTTTTTTGGCATCTGCTGAAATAGGGGATCTCAAGACCACATTTTAAGCAGAGGCACTGTTTCCCTCTAGAACCCCGGAGAGTTCAGGTTATTGGAGGCGACTCAATGCCTCATTCAAGAACAACCGTCTCTTCCTGGCTAAAGCACAGACTTCCAGAACACCGACTAGACACTGTGGTTTGGCTTCGTAGAAATCAGCTCCATGGTGGCCTGGAGGTCACAGCCTGATCTGCCATGCCTTGAACTTCTTCTCTAACATGAACGGCATTTCTGGGTTGTCTGAATATTTCTATGTTTTCTAAAAGATGGCATGTGGTCGTGGACGCCACCATCTGAATCAAGGTCTGTTTGCTGACCCTGAGGGGGTGGGGAGAGTTACACATTAGCCATGGCTTGCTTGCTCTCTCCTTATGTTTCTGCTTTGAAGTCAGCCAGCGTTGCTGAGAAGACAGGTTTCCTGGTAAACCAATTGAAAAGCCTGTTTTCTCCTCTGGAATTTAATACTTGGGACTCAGATGAAATCTGTCATCACAAACCATTCAGGTGTGTGTGTGTGTATTTATAAAATGGTATTATTTGAATGACCCTGTCTTCAGTCTTCAAGATTTTTAATATTCCTACTCCAGAATAAGTTTCGCCTTGACACCAATACCCCCCACTTGGAACCATTGTTCTCTCTATACCTTATATTCATTTTTGACTAAGCTCCTCTACCCTTAGCCCCCAGCAGGATCTGAGAAATAGACAACCAGGCAAGAGGTTCTTTCTTGAACATTGAAAGAGAATATTTCTAAACCCAAGAAAGGGGGTTGATTAAATAAATTATAGCACATGCATATACAGGACTATAATACAACCATCTATATCATCATGCTGCTTTGAATTTACTAACAATAAATAAAATCATAACACATTTGGAGATTCAAAATAATCTCATCTTATTAAAAAATACAGAATTATATTCCCCAAGATGTCAGTAGTGGTCACCTCTATGTGGTTGTGGGTAAGACAATTATCTTCTTTTCCTTATCTGTGTTTTCTAAATTTCTTCAATGACATGTGTTAGTTATGCAATTTAAGGAGGCTTATTATTTTTTTTAAAGAAAAAGAATGTTCCCAGATTATCAGTACATGATGATTACAATTATCTAAAAATATGTTATTGGAGATTGTTCCCATAGAAACGGAAAGAGGGACAATTCATCCCCTGGCATTACTGAGGATAAACACCAAATCGGATCTCTCTAGCCCTCACATGCTGCTTCCTTTGCAGGGGAAGCAGGGAGCAGGGTGGGTCAAGGGGGTCTGTCCAGAGCTGCAGTGCCCACCAGGTGCCTGCAGTAGGTCCCCGGATCCCCGGGTCAGGGCTTACCTGGAACACACAGGCATCTCCTTGGGCCCGGAGCTGGCCCACGAGTAGGTAGGTGGTGAGTCCTGCCAGGATGGGGAGCGATACCAGGCAGCAGGTGAGAGCCCAGCGCATGCTGCTCCTGGCTGCCAGCCTGGCTCTGGCCTTGGGTGTGCAGCTGCCTTCCTCGGGCAGCATTTCCACACTGGCTGTTTCCCCGAAGCCCAGCCCCAGATTCTCCGCCATCCTCCTGCTGGTCCTGAAGCTGGCTCTGACTTCCCCTGGGCAGAGAGACCCTCCATTAAATAGAAGACAAGCTCTCACAGTGGGTGCATTAATCACTGCCTACTCCTCCCCCCCGGGCCTCTCCCCTCCCCACTCCACAACACACTGGGCCCTGCCCTGCTAGGGAATGCACCGCCTACAACAGAAACCAAGTTTGGCTTTAAAAAAAAAAAAAAAAAGAAGAAGAAGAAGAAGAAGAAGAAAGCTTTCCCGAGTGTATTTATATACAGTGTGCTCATGTGCTCCTTCATTCGTTTACAGAAGGAAGTTAGGAAAGTCCCTGGAGGAGGAGAAAAAGAATCCATCAAGTCAGTGGGCAGGGCGAATTAAAATATAGCTGTCCCTGCCCTGGAGGCCTGCCAGCCAAGCCAGTCTGGGGAGTGTGCTGCTTCTGGAAGTGAAAGTGAAGGATGGGGAGGTGTGTGGTGTGGCTTGCAGACTGGGAAATAGAAATCATGTTTGCATCACCACTTTGCAAAATGCTGCCAGGCCCTCTGTCTTTTTGAGCTTCATAGGAGCTCATTTTCCTTGCGCAGCTAGGAATACTGAAGTTCTGGAAAGTGAAGGCACTTGGCTTTCGGTCATCCAGGGATTAAGACAGAGGAGCCAGGAAGATGGTCTAGTTCCTCTAAATCACTATTTGGGGTTCTTACTTCTATTACACATCCACCTGTGAAAGGAGAACGCATACCTAACCTGAGTTGACCAGTTGTCTAAGCAAAGAGCATGAGGTCATAGAGGTGACTGTCCATGAGGAGAGGACATTGACTTTTCCTCTCTGATTAGTTCCAAGTTGATTGAGCACAAGTGATAGGCCTTGCCCACAGTTGGGTGTGTATGGGGGCCACATTTATTAAACATTTCCTCAGTGCCAGTCACTATTCTAAGAGAGTTAAATGTACCAGTGAAGTTATTTAATCCCGAGATAATCTTTTGACATAGTAATATTATTATTCCCACTTGACAGATAACGACACGGAACCAGAGGATTGCGACTCAGGTCAGCCGGCTCCGGAGTGTCATAACCATTACACTAGGTTGCACGTGCTGCTATATTATGCACGTACACGGATACCCACACCCAGCATGCCCAGGGAGAGGCCATCCTTTCCAGTTAAGGGTTGGGAAATCTTCCTGGAGAAAGACGTGGTGTTGGAACTAGGCCTTGAAGCTTATGGAGGGTGAAGTTGGAGAAAAGTAGAGGACCCTGCAAAAAGATGGGTAATAGAAATAAGAAAGCTTAAGGATGTCCTGTGGCATGTGGTGGAAACCAGTCCGACTCTCACCTACATTCAGTTGCTACTTCTGCTTATTTCACAGCCTGAGCCTTGTGGTCTACCTGGAAAGGTGTTTCATGACCTGGTCCCTGCCCACATCACCCCTCGCCAGTGTCCAGCCTCATCTCTTAAGACTTTCCCAAGCTGCAGTTCTCCCAAATGCATTATGGATTAGCTACACTGTTGCACATGCTTTTCCCTCCACCAGGACAGCTTCCAGTCTTTCCCCTTCATATCACCATGCCCCCCCTATTTTAAAACTTTGTATTAAAACCTTCCCTTCATCGCCTGCCTCCAAGACTGGGTGAGATGCTCATCTTCTTCGTTTTTATAGCTTCTTATTCTTCCCCTATCATCAAATATTTCATACTAGACTGTGGCTGGCTACCTTTCTATCACCTGCATTAAGTCATCAGATGTAGGAGGGCAGGTGCTAAGTCCTATCCCTTCCCTATGGTTGTAGCTCCTAATGTAATGATGGTCTTAACAGACATCTGTTGAAATAAGCATCTAACATATTTCCAAAGAATCCAGCAAAGGATGATTTTTATGTCCCTTGGTTACCCATTCTTGGTTTAACAAACCTAGTAGGAAACTTTTCTTTAAGATCAAACTAAATCTTTGCCACTGTAACTTTTAAACACACAATCACACTTAATATCCGATCATCTTGAAGGAGCTTGCAAATGTGTTCTTATTTTCGTATTTCTTTTTTAGGAAGTTGGTATGTTTAATCAAACCAGGGTCTTAAAAGTGTTAGATGTATGGGTTCACATGAAGAAGTATGTATCATCAGCCACAATATAAGAAGGCTTCAAAAGATGGGGAACGCTAAAGACACCAGACTAGGGATCTGGAGATCTGGGATTTAGTCCCTCAATTGTGTGACCTTGAGAACTCTAGCAGACCCTACTCGTTTTAATGTACCTGGCTATCTACAAAACCTGGCAACTAAGCTTGTTATACTTCTGTTTAAAGTAAGGGTCAATGGATCCTGAGTTTGTGCCTAGGGAATGTCCTATAGAAGAGAATAAGAATTTTAGGGCATGAAACTATGGGCATCTAATTGGGATGGTTGTAGGTGTAGATTCACATGTAGTTGTAAGAAATAAAACAGAAAGATCCTGTATATCCTTTACTCAGGTTTCCCCAAAGGCAACATCTTGCATAATGAGAGCATAACATCACAACCGGGAAACTGACACTGACATTGATATTCAGATTCTACCAGTTTTATAGGCACTCATTTGTGTATACATATTTAGTTTGGAGCAATTTGTCACAAGTGTAGATGTGTGTGACAATTACCACAGTCAAGACACAGAAAAGCTCTGTCTCAAGGATCCCTCATGCTACAGTTCATAGCCACTGCTACCACCCTCCTTCCCTTCCTCACTTAACCTTTGCCATCCACCAGTCTGCCTTCCAACTCAATAATCATGTTATTTCACAAATGTTATATAAATGGAATCATGTAGTCTGTATCCTTCTGAAATTGGCTTTTTTTCCCCACTCAGCATAATTTCCTTGTGGTCCATCCAAATTATTGCATGATCAATGGTTCATTTCTTTTGATTGCTGAGTGGTATTCCATGGTATGAATATAGTATGGTTTGTGTAACCTGGTGACCCATTGAAGGACTGCTGGGTTATTTCCAAGATTGACTTATTATGAATAAAGTTGCTTTGAATATTAGTGCACAGCTTTTTGTGTGAAAGTGCCTTCATTTCATTTCTGGTATAAATCTCTAGAGCGAAATTGCTTGGTCATAACGGTAGGCACCTGCATAGTTTTGTAGAGAACTGCCATATTCTCTTTTCTAGAGTGGTGGTATCATTTTACTTCCCACCAGCAATGTGTGAAAGAGCCAACATCCTCTCTGCATCCTCCCTCCAGCATTTGGTGTTATCACTATTTCTCATTTTAGCCCTTCTGGTAGGTGTATAGTGACACTCCCTATGGTTTTACTTTGCATTTCCCTGATGGCTAACAATGTTGAACATCTTTTCATGCACTTATTTGCCATCTGTAAACTCTTTGGTGATACAGACATCTATTTTGGCTGCTAAAAGTTACTTCTCACTTGCTTCTAGCTTCTCAGTGGATTCCAAGGCAGAAGGTAAATAGCTTACAGATAAATGATGAGTTATTGTGTTTGAGCGCCAACTATGTGCAAGGTAGCTTTCTAGGTACTTTCTAGCAGTGACAAGAGCAGACAGCAATCCGTATGGTCATAAAGCTTATATTCTAGTGGATTGAGATGGCCAGTAAATAAAATAAGTTAAGTGTGTAGGGAGATAGGCAGTTATTTAGTTACATTTTAACATAGGGTGGTCAGAAAAGCCCACCTGTGCTAATAGGAGATGCTTGAATGAAGACCTCAGGTGAGGGAAGCCATGGGTGTCTGGGAGCAAACTGCTCCTGGCTTTGAAGCAGTTGTGTTCTGGGAGCATGAGGATGGCGGGGAAGGCTGGAGCAGTGAGGGAGGAGGAGACCAGGAGCAATGAGATCAGAACAGTATCAGAGGAGGTTGGCCACACCGGGCTTCTGGGCATGGGTAGGACTTGGCTTCTCATTCCGTGTGGCAGGGAGGCTCTAGCACATGTAGGGCAGAGGAGTGGCAGGTTCTAATTTTGCCTCATAAGGATCATCCAGGCTGCTGTGTTGAGAGTAGCCCGAAGGAAGGGTGGAATCAGGGAGACCAGTTTGGAAACTGCTGCAATCATCCAGGTGAGGCAAGGCAGTGGATTGGACAAGGTGGTGAGGGTGGGGGTGACAAATGGTGGGTTCCAGATATATTTTGAAGTAGAGCAGACATAATTTCTTTTTTTAAAGATTTTATTTATTTATTTGACAGAGAGCGAGAGAGCACAAGCAGGGGGAGTGGCAGGCAGGGAAGAAACAGACACCCAACTGAGCAGGGAGCCTGATGCGGGACTCGATCCCAGGACCCTGGCATCATGACCTGAGCCGAAGGCAGACGCTTAATCAACTGAGCCACCCAGGTGCCCCGAGCAGACATAATTTCCTATCCAGCTGGATGTAAGGTGAGAGAGAAAGACAAAAGAAAACTCTGGGTTCAAGGTTCTTGGTTGGAGCCTTGGAAGGATGGAGATGCCATTAGTGGAGAGAGGGAAGGAAGCTTGAGAGCTCAGAATCGACATGTGCACCATTGAAGGTGACTTTCAGACAACCAAGTGTAGGTGACATTACAAGGAGGCAGTGGATGATGAGTCTGGGGTCCCAGGCAGAGACTTGGTTGCAAAATTAATTTGAGAACCTTGCATGGCACAGCACCTATCACATAGTGCTCTAACGTGGATGCTCCTCTTGACTACAGGTCCTTAATTATTTTTTTAAGGATCACAGGCCTTTATTACACTATTTTATTCTTTCAACTTTTTTGAATATTTGAAAATTTTCACAAGAAAAAATTAGAGAGGGAGAATATATTTTTATTTCTACTCCTTTATGGCACCCAGATAATCTAAATGTGATTTCAGGTCCTTAATTTCTTAATTCAAAATCTTTGGTGTCAGGTTTTGGAAAAGCATTAAGTTAAGCTATATGATATCACCATTATCTGACCATTTTTGACATATAATAATAATTTCACATGGTTCACCTTAATAATTCCCTCCATATGCCTTATATTACATAATACACTTAGTGGAATTTGAAACAGTGAGATATAATCAAACACAGAAATATTTCTGCAGCCCAACACAC